TCAAATTCTAAAAGTAGTTTTTACAAGGCGACGCCGGATAGTTAGTCACGTGACACACGTGAACTGCGTGATACCCCGGTGGGCGTGTCGCGGTATGCCGCGAAATACCTCACCCATTTTGAATGGCTGCATCTGTACATAAAACTATCAGTGAGCTAATTCTCTTTTTGTAAACCTCAGGTGTTTCATTGATGAATAATTATGCACTAACTGGAACAGTCTTTGGCCAGTGAATCACAACAACAAAGTACTGTATGCCACGGTATAGTGAAGCAGCCCCTGTAACATGCTTTAACACACATCCTAAATGGATACATCTGTGAGTTCACATTTTTCTGAATTATTAATTACTGTAAACATGAATGTAGAAGGTAATTTTAAGTAATTTTGTTTAAAAAACCTGTAATGATCAAACTGAAATGTTATTCATCACCACAATGAATAACTGTAGGGAAAATAAACACTTAAAGTTAAAGATTTCAATGCTTATTAACCTTATTGTTATAAATCTTTTTTGGACTGACTTTTCAGGACTATTAATGAAGACTTTACAACAATACCTGTAACTCAGGATTATAGTAAAGAAGAGTAGCAGATGTGATGAGGTCTAATGAGATCCCTAGGCTCTTCACAAATCCCCAATTTAACCAAATCAAATACATTCATAAACACACACAAGCACAGAAGCAGGAGGAGCTCAGAGAAACAAGTTATAAAACCAAGGAGAAGCAAAGAGGAGAGTTGCAATACTTGAATCTTTGAATCTTTAAATGGCCTTTTTAAGTAAGACTATTGCATTTTTAAGGGTACAGAGTGGAATTTTGAATTCCTCATCTCAATTTCAAAATCAGTTTTTGGATTAATAATTTTCTTTCTGGGACAATGGACTTAACTAAGATGGAAGGACATCAAATAGTGCAGTACTGTTTTTCTTCTGACAATACATCATGCCCAAAAGAAACTCAATCCACAGTTGTTTATGTAATCCTGTATATTTTCTGTATATCAGTGGTGATGCTGACAGTGTGTGGAAACCTGATGGTGATCATCTCTATCTCTCACTTCAAGCAGCTCCACACACCAACCAACCTCCTCCTGCTCTCTCTGGCTGTGACAGACTTTCTAATTGGGCTGATTGTGATGCCTTTTGAGATGATTAGATATATAGAAACCTGTTGGTATTTTGGGAGGACATTTTGTATGATTTTCTATTTAGTTCTCGGCATTCTTACATTTGTTTCTCTTATTAATGTTGTTTTCATAAGTATTGATCGGTATGTTGCTGTGTGTGACCCACTGCGATATTCTAACAAAATAACAGTTAATGTTACGTGCTTTTGTATAACATTTATATGGTCATTCTCTGTACTTTATTTGTTGATGATTATTATTGGTAATATTAATTTTATCATCTCTGAAGGTGTAAAGTCCTGTCTAGGAGAATGCGTTTTTGAAATGAGTGCACCCTGGGCGATTGTTGACATGTTAGCTACTTTTATTTTGCCTTGCTCTGTTATGATGGTTCTATATATGAAAATATTTATTGTTGCCAAAAGGCATGCACAAGTCATCGGTTCTGTTACTGAGCAACTGAAGTTTAAGGATATAAGCAACAGTAAACTTTCTAAAAGATCTGAAAGAAAAGCAGCCAAAACTTTAGGAACTGTAGTGGCTGTATTCCTTCTATGTTGGATGCCATATTACATTGGCAGTATAGTTGAAGGAAGCCCTAACGCCTCTTCTTCAGCTGCAGTAATTAATGGTCTAATTTGTCTTGCAAATTTAAACTCTGCAGTGAATCCAATTATTTATGCCTTGTTTTACCCCTGGTTTCAGAAGTCAGTTAAAGCAATATTAACATTCAGGATATGTGATCCATCATCGGTTCTAAATAATTTGTTTCCTGAAAATCATTAAATATTGTTTACATTATGAACCTCAGCATGGTTTAACTGAATGTACATTCAGATGATCAATGTTCAAAATTTAAAAATGAAATAAAATTTACAGGATGTGGAAACATTTTATTATAAATATTGTATGCTTTCATAAGTGAAATTATGTTTCCTTCTAATAGCATGTTGTTTTTACACTTACATTTCATTAAATGTTAACATGGACATGATTCATTCACTATAATTTGCTTTTAGAATGTAAATGACAGGCTACTGACAACACAAAATAAAACAATTGTCACATTCCTTATATTTTACATTTTATCTATCACTATATATATATGTTTCAAGATTTTTGTTTCCAATTGTGCAATTAGATTAGATTAATCTATTAGATTAGTTGGCCATAGGTGAGAGTGTTTGTGTATCTATATTTGTGTGTGTGTCTATCCTGTGACTGTCTTGTATCTCATCCAACCTGATAACTCTTGTCCCAGTCAGCATACAGCAAAATAGAATATTGAGTTAAGTAAGTTTCTGCCATATATTCTCACGTTAGTTACTCTGGAAAAAAGATACAGATGCAGCCTCTCAGAACTTGCATTATGTCTTTGAAACATGGTACCTGTAATCCCATGATTCACTGGCCAAAGATGATCAATAGATGGCACTTGTGCTCCTTTGGATGTTAATGAAACGTTAGCCTCATTTAATCTGTTTTTTTTTTTTACTTTTTATCATCTTTAAATCCACATTACATGGAATATTAATATGTAAGTTTGTAACTAAAAGTAAATTTTGGTATCTGACAATAAAAGTAACACGCATAATATCTCTGTACATCATAAATAATATTGATTTAGGAATGGAAATATTTTATACACACTGTATATGGCTTTTTGTTGTAGCTAAAAATAATAAAAAAAACTACTACTTGTATTTTGTTCTAGGAGGATTTGTCACTGTTTTCACAACCTTCTCTTGCCCATCAAAATGCCTCTTTTTGAGACACAGATGTCAATAACACAGTCTTAAAACCACTAGGATTTTAAAGATGGAGTTAAGTGAAAAAGATTACAACTATTAAACATCTAGTACCTGGTTGCATTTTTAGAATTCTTAGTTTTTTTTTTTTAGTTTTTAGTTTATGCTTGAATAAAGCTGATCCCTGGTGTAAGTTCATAACACGAGAATTAATATCCAAAAGCATGTGAGACACCTCACCATATACAGTAAAGCAGATTAACACAAACTTACAATACTGTACAATTATGCATCTTGTGTATTAAGTTTAACCTCTCTTTAATTTGTGAAACGCTTTGGGTATTTTCTGATTTTAATCAGATAAGAATATACTACATATGCAATTCTTTTGAAAGGAGGAAAGATGTTCTGTGCTCAATAGCTTTTTCACCACAGTATGTATTATATTACATTTTTTTATGCATCAGTCAAAGCGTTCTGAAGACTGACGACTGAAATTTGTAGAAAATTTAACATAATATTGTAGGTCATACCCCTATCCTAACAAAGCCAATAACAAAATAAGACTGTAAATACATGGATCTGTGAACAGCTAAAAATAAAAAAATAAGGTACAGATGCAGCCATTCAAAATGAGCGGTAAAAACCCGCGGTACAGTAACCAACCCGCAGGG